CACTATGTTTTTCTTTGCTTAATCAACCTTCATTTTTGAACAAATTTTGCACACTTTCTGACATAATACTAATACGATAAGAACAGAAAGGTTACACAAAATGTTTTAGGCTCAAGTGTGGGACCTGGTTTTTATCTCTTTGTTGGTGAATAGAAGAAAAATATATTTGTAAGGGTGTATTCTCACCTGACACATTTGGTCCACTTTAAACGGACCAGAGTTTGTTTCCCCCCCCCCGTTGGTCCAGACCTTTTATGCAGATCTGAATACACTCGTGAACCCTGGTGCGGATCAAACAACTGGACCGAGACCCTTTTTTGAGGTGGTCTCAGTCCGCTTCCAAACAAACTCTGGTTCGGTTCGCCTCTGGTGTGAATACAGACTGGCCTTGAATGGAACCAACTACTGGAAACATGAGCTTTCTTGGACTTCATGAGCCACTGTTGCCAAACAACATTAGCCCGTCAGTGTTGCTAACGCTAACACTTCGCTACAAACAATGAGCCGTTGTGGATCAGGGAACACGGAGCATCTCGTCTCCTTTAGGTTGCGACACCCATTTGCCAACGCTGTCCCAAAATTATATCATCGCAAAACCACCACAGAATGAACTGCTCTTGATATTCTTAACACTCAGTTGTATTAACATCATCTTTATTTTCAGGTTTGTGCTCTGTCCTGCCCCCATCATTTCTGTCCAATGGGAGCAAAAAGCACAATATGAATGCAAACCGGTACTAAAGGGAAAAAAATAAAGGGCTCAACACACGGGAGGCGACGTCGCTCGCTCTCCATTCATTTCCTATGGAGCCTGTGCGGTGAGGCGACAATCGCTTGCCCTCCTCCAGCTAAGCGAACGGCAAAAATAGTGCATGTGAAATTTYGCGCTCGTACACGTAGACGTGCACACGCGAGCTTGCGACGTGATATATGAAAGTTGAAAAATGTTCAACTTTTGTCGCTGTTGCTCAGCGTACAACCAATCAGCGAGGGTTTCATTGACTGACCAATGAGAGGAGAGTATGCTACACACTGCAGTTAGCTAACACTTTCACCAAGTGATTACTAAAAAGCTTTGTGGGAATTTATTGGCACCAGGGTGAAGTTTATGGTAAGTTTTTCCCCATAAAACTGTATCTTGATGTGCGTTTGTTTTTCAATATATTAGCATCGCAAGATTTGTTTAGTTTACACGTCCGTAATGCACACCCGCCTTCAGAGTCAAGAACCAATCAAATTTTGTGAAGACAAGCGACCTGAGAGCGCGATTCGCAGCGCTGCGATCACTATCACGTCCCGTGTGTCGGGTTTCACCCTGGCTGCGATGACAGCCGTTAATCGCTGTGGTTTGTCGCTGCCCGTGTGTCGAGCCCTTAAGTCTGCTATTTGGTCTGGACCAAATAAGTGGACCAAAGCACTTTGCTGGTGTGAAAACACCATAAGATAAACATGATGCAACACTTCAGGAGGCATAAAATATGTACACAATTTTTTGTTTGCATCAACTAAAACCACCAAAAACATAGCTGACAACACACCAAACTTCATTAAATATAAGTCATTGTTTTTTTCTTTGTAAAGTAAATATCAAGTAAAATATCAGAAATTACAAACTGTTGCAGTAAACGTCAGATGAYATTGATGTTAAGTTGATTAAAGAGTGAAAGTTTAAATATTTTTGTATTTCCCCAAATCCATAAAGGATTTTTGATGGTTTTGAAAATTACAAACTTTTCATCCTGATTCAGCCAGATGTGAGAGTAAAGATAATTTATCCTTCAAGGCACATCATTTAAAGTAGACATTTCCTGCTTTTAAATCCTTCCTTTTCATAATTAAATCATCCAGTTGGGGCATTTATAAAGTGGAACTACAATGATTTGGTATGAATTCCTTCTTATTTCAATGTCATCAGCTACTCTTTCACCACTGAGGTGTGCCTCAAGGCAGCTGGTTTGGACACTGTGCCTTTAAGGCGCTTCAAGCCCCACCCACCTTTGTCTTCCAGACCAGTCCACTATGGTTTTAGAGAGGGGTTTATGTTTTCTAGCAGTGCGGACATTTTATTTACAATTTAATTAAAAGACATCAACGACAGAAGACTTGTCCATTCAGTCTTACATGTTGGAACCAGAGTCTGACCCAGAGCCAGAGGAAAACTAAGACGAGGAAATTGTAGTTGGCAAATCCACAACTTATTTAGCAATTCCCTCACAAATGATAAATTTTGATGTAATAGCTCAGAAAACGTCATAGAAAATCAAGAAAACTGAACGGGCTGAAAAATGTGACCCAAACAGAATATAACGATATCTCTGCAGCACCAGGAGAGACTAAAATCAACTTTTCTGCCTCCTGGAGACTCCGAGTCCACAACAAAATGTATTTRACAGCTAAAAAGGTGGATTCTGCATGATATGATCCCTTTAAAATTGTCTATTAGACTTTAGAGGCAGGTTAAATATAAAATATAACCTTTTGTTTTGGAGAAGCAAAAGTCTGCTGCAAACTGTTATTGAGTTCAGATGAAATGAAAACTAAAACAAAAACATGTTCAAACCCTGATGGGAATGCTTTGTTTTGATATAGACGAGTTGAAAGATGAGATAAGATCAGGGTCATGACCACAACAAGGGATAAAAATAATCTATAAATCCTCAGTGAGCAGAAGGCAGGGGTGGGCAGGGGGGCTTTCTGGGGACATAAATCACTGAGCTTGTTCTTTAAGTGCAGGTTTATGTGRAACATTCAACAACTTAATTATTAAAGTTGATCCAGAGGTATCTGTGGTGAGTTTGTGTTTAGCTGTAAAGGTTTAATGAGTTGTGCTCAAATATTCTCTATCAGCTCCAGTTATTAGGATAATCAGCACGGTGCATAAATCTGCGTATTAATCTCCACAGCTGCTCACTAATTGGAAATATCTCCGCTCTGATTGGTTGTTTTGTTTTTTTGTTTTTTTTCATTTTGTCATTGTAAGGAAGTTTTGTAAAATCAGCTGCAGATCAGACACAGTAAGATCCCACCACTGTTTTCTGTGACGAAACATCAATCTCACTGAATTGGTGAGATTGATGTTTCAGCAGCCACACTCAACTGCAGCTAAATTTCTTTATCTCAGTTTTGTCTCAAAGTGTCCTGATCATGTCTTAATTTAACTGCAATATGCTCTTCTTCTTTATTTTCTCACAACAGTCTCAAATGCCTAAAAAGAMAGCGCTATGAGACTTTTCTCACATGACAAAATAACATTTTTTAAAAATCATAACGCCCATTTTTAGTATGAATTTTATTTTTCTTTGTGTTTAAAGGGAACATATGCAAAATCCACATTTTTTAGCTGTTAAATACATTTTGCTGTGGACTCAGAGTCTCTAGGAGGCAGAAAAGTTGAATTTAGTCTCTCCTGATGTTGCAGACATATCTCTATATTCTCTATGGGTCACATTTTTCAGCCTRTTCGTTTCTCTCTGTTTTCTATGATGTTTTCTAAGTTTTACGTCAAATTATCACAGAACTGCCAAACAAGGTCTGGACTTACCGAATACATTTTCCTCCTTTTTTTTTTAATCGGGGCTGAACAAGTCTTCTGTTGTTGACACCTTTTAATTAAACTGTAAATAAAACAATTCTGCAAGCTAGAAAACGTAACCCCCAGCCCTCTCTAAAACTGGAGTGGACTGGTCTGGAAGCTGGAGGGGGCGGGGCTTCCAGACCAGTCCAGGGGAGTGTTGGAATTGCATCGTCTTTTAGTGATAATCTTGTTWTTAGTCCACTGTTAAATTCCCTTTTTTCAGAAAGCTATCATCTGTAAAGTGGCTYGCACAAATATATATACGTGACCCATCACATCGAAACGAGGATTAAGTCCAAAAGTGATACATGGAGAAATAGGCAAATATAGTGCTTTGACTAAAATGTCAACAAAAATTGCATTTTGACAAAAATATATGAATATTAAGCCTTATCAATGTATCATTTGAATGAACTGTCTGAAATATAATCA